CGCTACTGGAACTCATTGGTCCCGTTTTGCTTTGGGTTTCATTTCTCGGGCTCTGACAGCTGCCGCACCGTGGCTAGTAGTCTTAGGCAGATAGTATTGCCGACAAAGACTAGGGAAGCAGTTCGTGCATCGGGTGGTACACCACTTTTGGCTTGGATATGACTGGTTGGCGACTGTTGATAAGCCAGAAATTGCCATTCCAGTCTCACTTGTGGTTGCCGGTAATATTATGAGCTCATTTAGGTCCGGTAACGCAGGTGAATAAGAAAACTACGTATCTTGTCACGCATGCCTATGGTCTGTACGAGGAGATGATATTAAAAGTTACGAGGGCCATCCAAGCGCGGGTTGAAGTGACAATGTTAATTTTTTGCTGACGGAACAAACTAACAGCGCATGGGGAGCACAGAGGTCTCCACCGTGATCGTTGACATACCATCTTGAATCGAAATAGGAAGATGATGTTAAACGCTGCGGAACTCATCGCTGCAGTGGAGGCTGTAACAGTAGACTTAACAGCCCGTTAAGAACATGAGGTCCTATAAATGTAAGCAAGACTTCCCATTTAAATAAGGAAAGCCGTATTAGTAGCACCTGCTTAATCCCAAGAGGACCCGTTTCAAAATCCAGAAGAAACGTGTTCGGCAAGGAAAAATCTGATTAATAATTTGTGCTTTTTGAGGTAAGAGTTTTACTGAATTTTAATTTGAATATTGACACCTTCGGTGATGATATAAGGTCTAGAGAAAAAGAAATATTCCAAAGGCAGAAATATTTGGATGCTAAAATGAGTAGACATTTAAATGTAAAGCAGAGGGGCAGTGGAATAACAGTGGTGAAGTTACGCTAACTTAAGGCCGATCTACTCAGAGTGGAAGATTACAAATATATTCGATGCGAAACAAGAAGCAAACGCCAGCTTCGTGTTTTCTAACCCATCAAAACGTAATGTTCCGCAGTTTTCAATATAAGACAAACAAAATCCAGGTCGAGTAAATAGTCCTCGAATAGAAACTCCGAATGTGTTTGTTTTAACTGCGGTTGCAAACAGTCAGTTTACCAAAGAAGGGACAAATATATTCGAGAATAGAATGAACAACCAGGAGGAACTATTACGTGATCTGAACCCACATATCTGCGCCGCTTTGGCAGAAATACTTGGAATGACAAGCTTAACTTATTTGCATAAATTAGGCCTATGTCATTTATTGTGGACCCGTCGAATAACCTACCTGAGGCAATTATTATGTTCCAATCTGTGGAAACATTCAAACACAAAATTGGTATACATATGTTACAGCACTACGTAAACTATGTGACAAATTCATCTTCAAACACCAATGCACGATGAGACTGTCTATATTTTCCTGACTGAAAACTTGTTAACATTGTTTTTAATTGCTTAGATTTTGATGTGGCAAATAAGGAGTTCAAAGGCGCAAGCCTATTTTTTCTCAAATATACTCACTGACTGACTCTGAAAGTGGGTTGCGTTGAACGATTAGGGGGTCCACAAGCTTTGCATGACCAGAAAACACCAAAACTGCACTTGAACTGAGGGGAATTCATCTGCCCAGTTTAACTCCATGTGGTTACGCATAACGACTTCAAACTAATTTTGTCAAAAAAGCATTCGAATAAACATTTAGGGTCATCGACACAAGTGGACGTTTGCAAATTCCTGAATTTCTTGGAAATTTTGTTGATGTAGATAAGGGGCAGTATTGGACCCAGCCCCTTCCTCGCAGTACACCGCTAGAGATCGAGCAAGCTGTCTAATACTATTCATGATGAAAAGAATGGGATGCGGCATTTATCACTGGGCTCTTATTGTGTGGCTAGAGATTTTTACAACATTTAGCGAACGGTTTACGGCAAAGTTGACCTAATCGGTCGGCTGTTCTACTTCGGACGGTCAATTAGATTGCAATAAGATAATTCGGATCACAAGCAGAAGGAAAATTTCGTTTTATAGATAGAAACGTGAAAGTCTATATGTATATTTATATGCATCCTATGACGAAGATGACGAAGAAAGGTAGACTACATCGGTCACATTAATTTTTTTATTGGAAACGAAACGAGAAAAGAGTGGATCCGAAACTTCGGGCAGTTTAGTTGCACAAGCAATCACCTCCAAATTTAGGAAGAAATCAGATAAATTGTGAGAATTAGGATATGCCGATACTTCTGCCGAATAGTAGAAAAAAATTCTGGAAAAAGTATCATCAGCTTCGAGTTCTGTTGTAGAAACAACTTTGTCTTCTTCTGAACTCCTATTGGACCCTATAATGACAATAACAAAGGCAGGTAAACTATACAGAAGACTAAATCATTCATACTCGATCCTTAGGTGATAAATTCGAAAACTCGATTCCAATTGCCGATATCTACGTCCTCAAGGAACTTCTTGAATTTTATAGGACCAGAAGATGGAAGCCACGGGACTTCGCGAAGATTAAAGTCACTTGCAAGCAGGTATTACTGCAAATGTACATCGGCCGCGGTATGAAAGGCCTGTGGGGTACAAAGAGCACAACCCTCGCTGCCACTGGGTGGACGATAGACACAACCAGCGAGTAAATAATTATTATTTTTGAAATAATACAAGGCTTACGGCTACTTTTTAGGACAGTAAATTGCGGATGGTTAAAAGGCCGATATATGAGTGCTTGCCTAACATGTGTACAGCTTTTCTCAGCACGACCGATGCGACGACCATTTTGAATGTAATTATAGTGTAGGACTGAACGTTCAGAGTCGGCTACAGAAGGTATTGCCTATGTTTCAGCGACATAAACAAAAGCTAGACAGGGAACAAAGACCAAAGTCTGAAGTCTGGTGTATCTTATTAGGTTAGGATCTGATATTTAAAAGAACACAATAATGGGTATGCTTGTGGTGTCTGAGAGAGTGCAGCTAAGTCATTTGGCAGTTGAAGGGCCACGAAACATAAAGAACAATTATTCCAGTCCGATCCTGGGAAACAATGTGTGCCATAGATAGCGCCCTAAGAATGTCAGTCAGTCAGTATATTTGAGAAAAAAATAGGCTTGCGCCTTTGAACTCCCTATTTGTCACATCAAAATCCAAGCAAATAAAAACAATGGTAACATGCTTTCAGTCAGGATCACATAGTTCACGTTGTGCTGTAGCATGTGTATATCATGTCGGTGTTTGAATGTTTCCACAGATTGGGACATAAAAATCGCCTCGGGAATGTTATTCCACGGGTCCACGAACCGATTAGAGAAAAAATACTTCCTCACATCCAATCGTCCTTGGGACACGTACAGTTTGATGGGATGTCCCCGGAGATTAATTGTAGTGGCGAGC